GGCAGGGTGGGTGGCACAGCTGGCACAGCCCCCCGGGACAGCTCTGCGGCTGCTGCGTCACCGCGGCCGGGACAGCAACTTTCACTCGGTTGCTGCTCCTAATCCAACATCCCAAATCCAGGCAGAGCCGGCAGCCCCCAGGAGCCCCCAGGAGTCCTCGGTACCGAACCCCTCCAGCCCCGAACCAGCCTCCCTTCCGCGGGCTGCGAGCGGCTCCGCCGGCCCGGCGCGGCCGTCCCAGCCCACCCACACACCGAGCCGATCTCCCACCCACCGGGCGCTCAAAGCGCGGCGGGAGCGTGCGGACGTGGGCGGGAGCACGAGGGGACGTGACGGGGCACGCGTGGGGCCGATCCCCTCTGCCCGCCCCGCGTGGCCGGTCCCCCCACGCCGGGAGCCCCGCTGGAAGTCCCGGTCCCCCCACGGAGCCCACGGGACGGCCCGCAGAGGAATCGGCGCCATCCCGGGAGCGAGGATCTCGCGGCCCGGACCCGCCCGACGGCTCCTACCTCGGAGGGGGGATCCGAACGGCCCCGGACGGGGCGGCGGCTCCGTGTCCCCCGTTCCCCCGGTGGCGGCCGCGGCGGTTCGATCTGGGAGAGAAGCGGCACATCCAGGGGGAACGGCGGCGGCCGGGATGGGGCGGGACGGGACGGGACGGGACGGCGCCCCCCGCACTCCCCCGGCCCGCCCCGGGCGCCGGGAGTAAGTTACCGGAGCCCCGCGGGGGCGGCGGATCCCGGCGGGTCCCGCTCCGCCAACTGCGGCGGCGGCGGCGCCGATCGCGCTCGGGACGGAGACCCCGGCCGGGAGCGGCGGCCCCGAAAACCCGGGATGGATCCGGGACACGCACGGCCCCGCGCCCGCGCGCACCCCCCACGCGCGCACCGCTCCCGCTCGCTCCCGGCCGCCGGAGCCCCACGCGTGTCCGTGGGGTGTCCCTCGGGTCCCGCACACACGCACAGAGTCGGGGACACGCGTGGCCGCCTGCGCCCGCGGACACGGGGCGCGTGTGCCGGGACCCCCGTGCCGGTGCCCACCCGTGTGAGGGATCGCGCGTGCAGGTGCAAGCGCGCACACGGTGCACACGCGTGTGCGAGCGTGGGCACAGCCCTCGCGCGCGTACCCGCGGGGGACACAGCCCACGAGCACCCGGGGGTGACGTTCTCCAGCCCACGGACACGCGGGGGGACACAGCCCGGTTACACGCGCACGAACACGCGTGGAGAACACCCCGCAGCCCACGGACACGCACACGCAGGAGGCAGAGCCCGTGCAGGGGAGACACCAACAGTCCCACTCACACTCAAGGGGCGAAGACCCCGCACCCGCCGGGTGCCACATCCCACGCACACGCGGAGTGACACAACCCACGCACACGCGGGGTCACACTGCCAGCCCCTAACCCTGACCCAAAAATGATAAATATTTATTTTAAATTAATATCGCCCTTTCCGTTCTGCCCGAGCACACGCGGGGAACGCAGCGCACGCTCTCAGGGGGCACCCGGGCTGGGGGGGTCGCACCCTCCAGCCCACGCACCCGCGGGGTCACTCCCTGGGGTCGCGCCCTCCAGCCCACCCGTGGGACACGTCCCAGCCCCGGGGTCGCTCCCGGGCGGGGGTCGGGGCTGGGCCGGGGGCTGCGCACGGCGGGGCGGCGCCCCCTGGTGGCGGCGGGTGGAGCCCGTGACCGGGGCGAGCCCCGAAGGTGGCGGAGCCGTTCCGCGCGTCCCCGCTGAGCCCGGAGCCGCTTACCGGGATTACACAGCTCTGGTGTGCCCGGCATTGGCCTGCCCCTGTCCCTTGTCCCCTGTCCCCTGTCCCCTGTCCCCTGTCCCCTGGTGTCATCGCGCACCGGGGGCAGCTGCACATCCTTCACGGTGTCACCGCTCCGGGACCCCCAGGGCAGAGGGGCAGCATGGGGACACAGTGACAGCATTTCGCGAGCTCTCAGCTCCCAGCCGTGGCCTGCAGAACCCATTCCCTGCCTCAGTTACCCTCCCCACTGTCCTTATCGGAGATCCTTCCCTGCTGCCCCTTCAACACAGCGGGGGTGAGGAGGGGTCTCTGCTCCCCGGGGAGCCCTCAGCACACAGGGGAGATGACAGCGCCTGCAGGGTCAGCCCCTTCCTCTGGCAAGGGGGGGAAACAGCCAGCGGGGTCCTGGGGTGCCTCCAGAGCCTGCCGAGGCTCGAGTCCCACCACAGCAGCCCCAAAGCAGGGCCCAGGGGGTGGGCGCAGGCGAGGGGGTGGGCGCAGGCGAGGGGGTGGGCGCAGGTGAGGGGGTGGGCA